GTAGTAGCACCCTGCGAATAGATAAAGTCTAACGCGAAAAGGCAAAATATATTATATATATTGCTTAGCAGGGATTACTGACTGGCTAGAATACTGCGACCAAAAAAGTGAGCGAAGCCAAAACTCCAAATCCAAGAATCCCCCTCCCCACCCCCTGTACGTACTAACATTTTATAATAATTATTCAACCTCAGGCCACCCACTTTCTTCACCCAAGTCTCTGGTCCTTAGGTGGTAGTATTGAGTTTAGTTCTATTCTCGGATGGTTAGCCAAGAAGCCCCTGAGCTTCCACCCAGCCTTCTCAAATAAAAACAAAAGCTCTTTAATGTGGATGATAATCCGCCATCTCAGGTAGCCTTCTACTATTCTCCGGATTCTGAGTCAAGACATTCGGAGGGGAATTAGCGTTTTCCCAACATAGTAAAAGATCGGCCCACTTGGCACCTTGATCTCGCTAACCAGTATTCGTAATTCCATTAACCTGCTTGACTAAACCTATCCTGGGCTAACTCGCAGATCATGGCTGATACTCCGATGGCGGATTTTAAGAGTTTTTACGGTACAGTACTCGAGTAGCAAGATGTTCTTAATCAGAAATTGCGAGATGACTAATCTTGGTAGCTGGTACGTATTCTGCCGCAGGTTATTGTGGGCTTGTCGGGGTATGGTGCCGGGCGCTTGAAATCGACCAAAAACCAACACAAGAATAATTTTCGAAAAATTTCAACCACAACCACATCTTTAAAAAGATATGGCTTCATAGAAGTGTTCAGAAGACACTCCTGTCTAATTCTATGTTTTCTGATTTTTAATCAGGGCAGTATTAGTTGAGATAGTAAAATTTCGAATTACCCATGTAGGGTGGTTTTTGAAGTTACTTTTGCCAAGCCCTCTTATTTGTGTGTATTATGTAAGCAAAATGAATTACCCATGAGGGCTGATTTCAAGTGCCCGGCACCATACAGGTAAACAGGCAAGAAATATCATCGGAATACCTCCTTACAAACGGAATTACCAATAGTGGGGGGTATATTTCTCCTGCCAGGCGGTGTCACGAGGCGAATGCCATGACGCCTTTTCACTGGTTTGCGTTTGCGGCGTTTTTGGCTAGCTTTGGGTTCAGTGCGTATGGGGTTCGGGGGATGATGAGGAGGGGTGGTGGTGATAGGAGTTGGGGACCCATGAGTCAGGTTTGAAGTCGTGATTGCTCGTGATCCGCGTGGGGGAAAGTGAATAATGTAGAGGATGAGTTAGTTGGTTAATTTATAGTTGGGTTGTAAAATCTTTTCCTTGTTAGGGGGGTTTTTAAAGGTGTTCCTTTGCCACTCTTAGCTATGGGATGATTACTCGATGGCAGAACGGTGATATACGGATGAGATGTCTAGTACCGCAGCTTCACTGTTTCGATTGAATTCACGTCTCCAAGAAATGGACCGCGTATTTCTGAGCCATCGAGCATAAGTTGGCTGCCCTTCTGCCATGCCGGTATGACATCTTCTTTCCTCCCCTGAGCCTGCATTCTTGCTTCGACATCTTTGGCCCGCACGCTCCCCCCAACTCACTCCTCTCCGTTTTATCGAGGCGGCCAGGGTTGGTTCATAGAGGGATCTAGCTGGAAAAAGAGAGGTGGAATTAATACTTGGGGATGGTGAGTAGAAAGTGTAGAGGAAATTGAACTCTATCGCAATGAGTAAAGCCCCACGATGTCTTGATTTGTCTCTATTTGTCCGAAGGGAAAACTCCCGGTATTTTATAGCTCCTGAATACCCAGAGTACGTAATGCCTTCGAGCCTCACGGCCCCCCCACTATAGTTTGCACGATTGCGTTGAAACTCCCCGTGCCCCGAGTGCGTTTACAGGCAACCCCACTATTTTACAACCCAATACTGCACTCTACCTATGTTCAGTGCAGGTAATCGAGCGAACAGGCCCTGAAGTAAGCTTCAGGACATGTAGCGCGGTATCCCCCGGATCGCCATAGCAAGACAAGACTGCATAATCACCATCGTAATCAGTACCGTCGTGCCACCTACAAAATTGGTCTTTTTTGGGGGAGCTAGTCTGGGTGACGGATTTGCGACTCAAGTGGAGACTACAAGGCCGAAATTCCTGACCGATATCCCCCTCTATAAGCTGTGGTACGCATATTTGTCGTTTAGGATTCAAGCTGATTAAAAAAAAAGATGTGCAACGGTACTTGGTTCGCTGTAGGCTGTGGCACCGCCATAGCTTCAGGAAATGAAGCTGAAGCGACAACGGCGCGGCGGGGCCAGAAATCTCCGAAGGGTACGTGAGTATATTAGCGATTCGAGGAGGAGGCTCTCTATTTTGTGAGATTTCTCGCGCAGCCTATTTGAAGGTGTCCGGACGCCTTGTATGGGAATTAACTTAGCTCTTAAACTAGGCGTCTAGCTTCAACTCAGCCGTGCGAGTACGTGTGTTCCTATCATACATGATCTTTTTGAAATAGCCGGAACGGTTCCGGGGAGCGTTCTTGCGATAAACGTACCGGTCGCCGTCATTCCCATTTCGTTTCCCCGCGCCCCACGCAATGCTCTCATCACAGAGAATCACTCGTCTAAATCGGGCAATGAAGATGTTGAAAAGTGTTGAAAAGCGCCGCATTCTTATGGCCGCAGCAGTGCACGTATGCGCAGATGACGACACGCAAGCATCGAAAGTTTTCTCTTGTTTGCTCCTGTTCCCTCTTGTCTTCTCTTAGCCGCAACCATTCCTTCTTTCTTCTTTCACTCTTACCTTCTCCCCTTTTTATTCCAACTCCACTATTCCAATATACAACTAATACCCGCGTATTAGAATCTTTAGTGGTGTCTAGACAATGTAAGGTTCAAGTTCTATTGAAGTAAATACATTAGTATTCCAGGGTGGGCCATTGAAGTAATCGTGCGTTACAGGAATAAAAAAGGAATATCAGGATGCAATAACTTTAATACTTCCTGCGAGGCTTAGTTGTGAATTGGGCTGTTGGGAGAGCTTCCGGGCGATTAAACGAAGTGAACCTAAGCGGCTAGTCTGTCCGGTTTTGGGCATGGATGCTTGTTCAAAGGCCATTGATGAGTTTTTTCTAAAATTGATCGAGGCAAGAGGAGTTGAAGGCGGAAAGAACAAGAGTATGCACAGGCATTAGCACAGAGATTCAAAGTCATTGTGTCTGATTAATTAATAATTATAAACTTCCCCTACCCCCCAATGTCTCCCCTCGTCCCGATCAGACAGAATCCCCTCTCATTAAAGTCCCGCTCCCCCAAGCCCAAGTTTTAGACACAGTGCACCGTGTCTGATTAATTATAAACCTACGCCTTAACGTTTCTTCTTGTCCTGATCAGACATTTTTTCTTTTTCGAGTTCCGCCACTTTAAGCTCAAGCTTAAATTTAGACAAAGCGTCCTCAACCATCTTCGTAATCCTCTTCTCGGAATCGTGTATCATAGTCCCAAGCTTAGATTCCGAGTCTTCAATCTTTTTAAGCAGCTTTTCTTCTACGTATTTGTCATAAAAAAGCATTTTTGACATAATCTAGTCTGATGGTTAGTACAGAGTTGTGCAGACTCGGAAGAATCGGAAGACAACACACCCCTATGACAACGGTCCCCAGTATCCATCTATTCCACCAGCGGGCATCATTTATCGCATCGTTGACTGGTTTCAAGCTCTTTTCTAAGCTTTCATCCAAGTTGTTCATCAGCTCGGTTTTTAGCTTAGCGAATTCATTGTGGATTGCCGAACTGCAAGTCTATATAACAGTTAGAGAATTACTAACTTTAAAGCATTCAGGAGTCGGTAGCCTCCTAAGCCACCCGGACAGATGCTGATTAGTGGACTTTGTATAAAGAAGCGAGTAGTGATGAGCACAGTAGCTTCAACCACTTGAAAGTTTCTTATTTGGGTTTAGCTGTCCGGCTGAGGGGGTGTTCAGGTGGCTAAGGAGGCTATCTATCATTGAAAATATTACCTTCTCCAATGTAGCGACCCGATTTGCCAAATCACTGAGCTCGTCCGTGCTGCCCGTGCTGCCCGTACCGCCCGTACCGCCCATACTGTCCGTACCATTCGTACTGTCACCCGTAGAATACTTCTATTCAGTCACATAGTTAGTAGTTATAGAGCACGGTTGACTCCTTCACCTACCTGGGTCCGAACAGCTTGAACAAGAGAGGTTGAAGTAAGTTGACCGTTACCGGGATGACGATGATGACGAATCAGCCTGCCATGAAAGTGATGCGGAAAAGGGGCAAGTGCCAGACGAAATCCAGTAACATTCCGAACAAAGGCCATCATGATGGAGCCTGATTGAAGGATCAGGGTGCTTGTATTCGCTGAAAGGGTTGTTGTGAAACAGCTTCGCTCCAGTGGAAAGAAGGAAAGAAGGAAAAGAAGGAAGGAAGGAAGCAAACAAAACCTTAAAGTACCGTAACTGAGAATCATTTGTTACCCTACCGTGACCGCTGCCATTTCTGGTTGCCACCTTTTTTCCTCTCATTTTACTAATCGTGATTACTCAGAATGACGCTAAATGATAATCCCGGTTCCTATGACCTGTGTCGAGTATGTCAGTTCCCGACATAGTCTACCTGTACGATACTAGTACTTGTACCAACCTGGAACAAAAAGTGATCGGAAAAAAAGTGGTTGGCACAACACGACTTTTTTCCGATCACTTATCCTTACACCCTGTTACTTCCTGAACCGACATAACCGCTGACATGACGTTAAACCCACCATCGGCAATCTCAACAGAAGTCACTGTCTAAACCACAATAGGCCTAGCATAGTAGGTTAACACGGTGACGAATGCCAGTTAATGAGATCCCGTAGGCTCGCCATCCCCAAGCTATACTCCGTCTGGATAACACTATTCCTTCACGGGATGCTATGTCTCTGATCGAGTGGAGCCGATCCCAGACGGTGAATTTAACAAGTAAATACGGTACCTGAAATTGTAACAGCCAAGTATTCTATTCTACCTCTCAAGCTATTGGGTTTTGTGGTGTAGTTGGTTGTTACGTCAGTCTAACACACTGGTGATTCCCGGTTCGAGCCTGGCCGAAATCATTCTCCTTTTCTTACTTTTAACGGCGTTTTTTTTTCCTTCTTCATTGACAACGACATCTAATTCATCGGCTGCTCGTCGATTCATACGGCTGGGGAACCCTTTAACCAGATGAAGGAACAGAAAGAGTGAGTGAGACTGGTCGTCAATACAATTAATAGCATAATTTATTTACACGAGTGAGAGTCTGTGACTAGTGATCCTCTATTATGGTGACGATGATACTGGACATGGAGAAAAGGAAGAGAAAGAGAAAGAATTGAAATCCATCGAGAAAGCTCCATTTTCCCAAGCTCGGACCTCCCACAAAGAACCACAAGTGCAGGGTCCATAGAGTCAATCTAAATCATATTAGTCAGACAATCGTGTACCAAGAAATGAATTACAAACTTTGGATTTCAGTGAGAAGAGGTTTTGGGCTCCCGTAGTGAATCACCCCTACAGCGACCCCGACCTACAGCCCCGTCTCCCCCAAAAGCTTCCCCACCAGTCTAGAGATTGCCTCTGCCGCAATGAACCTCTTCCGCTCTGCCTCCAGGCGCTCCCTGCTCCTCTCTGAAATATCACCAATGTTGGATAACGGAGACGGTGTTCCGGGCATATTGTTAGGCATGTGCAAATACACTACTGAATTCAGTGCTGAAACGCGCGAAATTCTGTTGTCAACACCCCCCTCTGGCCCCGGTGTGTTCTCTGCACATCACGTGCAGCACCACCGGTAATTGCGTCCCGTCACTAAAGTGACATGCAATTGGCAGGTGCACAATAACACTGTATACGTCGCTACTGTCAGTCCAACTGGAGGCTGTTTGCAGGATATATAAGAGGGAACTGCTGCAGGGCTCATACAACCATGCTCCACTTCCGCTATTTTCCCCCTCCTACATTTCCACCTCCTACATTTCCACCTTGTTCTCAACACCATCAGTGTCCAGTGTGCCCATACATTTTCGCTATCCTAAAGACCTCCAGGCCGAGGCCTCCCAGTCGTGACAGGAATGGCTTCAGTTGCTCTTCCCCCCTCTGAGCACTCCGCGGTGTCAGGAATCCGCCCTCACGTTCCCCTCATCCTGGACCTCCTCGAGAGGTCCTCGATGGACGCAGGAGTGTCACCCCAACTTTTCCCCCCCTTCAGTTCTAGCAAGCTTGATGATTTCTTCCCTGGGGAGGCTGTCATCCTCCCTCTCCTCTGCACCTCCCTTCTGGCCTCTAGGGCCCTCTCCACTCAGATCGACGAACTCGGGCTAGAAGCCGCTCGCCTCTCCAGACAAGTTGATGAGCTTTGCTCCTGTTGGGAGAAGACTCTTCTCCCTCCTGCTCTCCCTACCCAAAACGCCACCACAGCCGCCTCGCTCTCTGCCCTCCAGCTGTTAGTTAGAGACCTTGCATCCCAGCTGACCACCTCCCTTCCCCAACCAGCACGCCTCCAACAGCCTATGCCTGCGCCGTCTAGCACCAGCTCGGCTTGGGCAGTTCCTTTCTGAAAGGGTAAGGAGAGGGCCACGTCTGCCCCCTCTGCAACCCTAGCCAATGAGCTGACCCCCCTCTCTGAGGGTGGTAGTGATACGGACATTCCCTGCTACAGCACAAAGGACCAGAAATGGTACAGTGACCCGGCCGCATATGCTGCAAAATTCCCTCACTCCAGGGAGGCCCAGACCTACAGGGAAGAGAAGTACCCCCTCCTCTTGGAGTTCTACCCTGTTCCCTAGCCGTTGGCTCAGTCCAGCACCTGCTCCTATGCTCAGGCCGCTTCCTCTGAACAGAAGAGGAAGGGGAAATCGAACAAGGCAAAGAACACTCCCTCGGCTGCCCATGTAGTGTCTGGCTTGGCTCCCATGGCCCTTTCCAAGGGTCTGAAGAGCCTCTCAGCGGCTGAGAGATGTTTCCTCACCCACAGGTCCTCTCTTTTCCCTCACTCCCAGGCGGAGCCTATAGCTGCCTCCTTCCCTGACACCACTGCCTCTGTTCTCCGTGAAGCAGGCTGCAACCTCCCGCTTTCCTTCTCCACTCAGGTCAACGACCGAGGTGCCATGACCCTTCTAGCTCTCTTCCTCTTCATCCTATCAACGGCCTATACCCCCTACTATAACGCGCTCTTGGCTAGACTAAACCGGTCTTTTCCAGTGGGTAACGCCCCATAGCTCTCCTTTCACCGCGCCTCCAATGAGGTTTAACTCACTATGCACTTCCTTGTGATAGCCTATTTCTATGAAGACGATGATGACCTCCTACAATCCCACAGCAATACCATCCTGAACATCAAGAACATCTAGATCCTTTTCGCCTGCTACTTGAATCCCGACTGTGACTCCAGAATCCTCAAGAAGGCAACGTCTGTAATTGTGACAGTTGCACCGAAGAATAAGGCCATCATGTTGGGTAATGCCTAACTTCTCTACTCTTGATGCAAGATTGAGAGAGCCTACTTGGCTAACAGCCTCACTCGGTGCTGTAATTCCAGGGAATACGGACACAATTCAGCTAGATGCAAGATTGATCACTTGGTCTATCCGATCTGCACCCTCTTCCACAGGAAACAGGCACACCGATGCCAGAACCCCACCTGCCCTAAGGATGGGAATCTCAGAGCGGTAGTCGACTGCTGTCCAACCTCTTCCCCAATGTGTACGGTCTGCAAAGGCTACTACCTGGCTTTTGCTCGTGAATGTCCATCCTGATCCCCCCCACCTCCTACCCACTGGGAGTCCTCTACTCTGCAGAATGAGGAAGATATTGTTAGGCATATGGAAATCTGAGACAAGCACGCAGACTGATGGTAGGGTAACTGCGCACAGACCCACGATTTACCGAAGCCAACACCCCCCTTCGGCCCCCTTATAGGGCCAGCATGTCATTAGCGAGATTTCGAGAGTCGCATCCTATAAACTAAAATGTCAAATCAATGATGCCCACTTCATAACACTATATATGTCGCCGCTGTCCATCCAGCCGCATGCTGTTCGCAGGGTATATGGGAGAGGACCTTTGGCAACATCTGGGAAGTGGAACGGAGGACATCCGTCAGAGGCACATTGAGATAGTAGGCTTCAAGGTTAGGCTTCCTAAACTATGGGCTGAAGGTGACGGGACGTTTTCGGCGAAATACTCTAAGAGGATATCCCAGTAGTGGAAGCTATTAGGGGTATACCGAATCCACCCATACTCTTCTGAGATTAGCTGTAGGTTGGTTGATTCTCATAATAGGACCCCTCTACGGAGGCCGATGGAACAAGGGGAAGCATGCTCTGAATGGAAGACCTAGATAAGTCGGAGCCCCTTAGGACGTTGATACATTGGGCTCGGACGTGCGATTGGCACTAGGTGATCCAGCATGAACCTGATTACTTCATGACCAAATAGAATACTGGAATGATAGTCAACAAGACTAAAGTAATATAATAGTCTATGCAGACATCTAAGTTGGAGGCCGCTACTTGGTATAACAAATAGCGCAGTCATCTCAACGGAGGAGTACTATTCCATGTCCGCGAAAGAGTGTGATAAGTTTCTGGGTCAAACGGTGTTTACACTTATAAGATTCTGGACATTTGCGTATTAAAACCAGGGTGGTACTTCGGAGGCATACTAGTTAGAAGTAGTCCGCGAACACTCAGACGCGGGATATAAATATCGAAGTGCCTCACGAGCTTTACAGACATCATCAAGCAATGGAGAAGAGATCTTATCAATATAATATTGTTTCGCACTTTAAATCTTTACCTTACCAATTTTATCGAGATGACTCTTTCTCGACAGATTCTCCAATCGAAGATTTTTTGGCCTATGTCCCTCAGTTATATACTTGAGTTTGGCGTCCGCCTAACAGTATATGGATAGTTCTCTGGTTACCAAGGCTCACTATATGAACTACGAGTTCACTTCAAACTCCACCATTAGTTCAGACTTCGATTACATTTTCGAACCACCTCACTGTCCAATCTACATTCACACATTCGCAGAAACCTTCGTGACTGAGCAGCATGAAATCGAAGAAGAGTTCACTCAGGAACCTTCGTGGTTCATAGTACCTTTTGGGATCCCAACGCGGGATCAATTCAATTGCATATACCGCACCTGGTATGGTCCGGACTTTGAGTGGAGTTCTACAAAGTCGGAAAACCATGTTGAGTGGAGTACCCAGTACTCCGACAACAAGAAACCAGGCACACCCATCCGAGGGCCAGATATCCTCTCGCCCTGGGCCTAACATATCTTTATATGTACTATAAGTACATCCTAAACCTCAAAAAAAGGGAGATTGAGGTTCTGAGTTCAGAGTCGGACCAATCGAACCCTTTTGTACCTACACCTCTAGAGTACCTCAGACGTTGGATACCCTACATACGATTCCTTAAACCGTTTAAAAGATATCAAGAACTCTGGTACGAAGTACCAGTAATCACTCATCCAGGGCTATTAGAGAAGTTAGCCTATCTGGAAAGTATCACAATGGCTGAGATACCTCAAGACGCGAGAAAAAGGATCACAGCGAGAGAACCTATGGATACCCGACCCGATATGACGGAAAAAACCAATGATACGGCCATATGGAGTCCATCCCAGTCAACACCTTAAGAACCAAGGTTCTGGAAAGGACATGCACCCACGTACAGATCCTCTAGTGTTGCAAGCGCTCAGCGGATATCAAGGGCCTCCATGCCTAAAGCAGTAGGATGTCACTGTTGTGTGGCAGATAGTGGAAGGAGACGTTTACGACAAGTGAGTAGAAGGAGACGTTTTCACCATGACGAAGATATTCGTCATGAGGTTTTAGTTTTGATTTACTTTCACGTACATGACCTATTCAGAGGTCATGAGGACAGCGCATGAGGCCAAGGGGGCTGTGCAGTTTGGTTTACTTTCACACACATGACCTATTAAGAGGTCATGGGGGCAGCGCATGAGGTCAAGAGGGCTGCGCAGTTTGATTTACTTTCACGCACATGACCTATTAAGAGGTCAGGTGGTTTACGCACATGACCAATGATGCAGTCATATG